AAGCAATTCCGTGCTTTTTTGTCATAATGAGCTAGAGCAGCCATAAGAATTGAAAGAATAGTGACTTCAGACTGTTATATATGGAGTGGTAATTCGTGTCGAGAAGATGGTTGATATTAATAAAGAAGGGGGAGATGTGGGAGTGTGGCCATGGGGGTCGGCAAACCTCGTGGTTAATGATAACAGTAGACTCTTAACGATGAGGCCATCAGGAATGTAAAAGAGTTTAGAGGGAACAAAGAAAGGTGATTCAGGAGAATCCATGCAATCTCAGGGTTGCTTGTTCTCCAGCCGTTAAGGCATGGAAGTTTCTGGGTGTTTGCTGTTGTTATTTGCAGAGTTGTTTGACCAATGAAAAGTTGTTCTTGAAAAGGACTGCTGTGGGGTGAAGGGTATAAGAGGGGAGCCTGCCGTCAAGATAAAAAAAAAAAAAGAAAAAAAAAAAAAGGCGATGCGATGAAGTTATGTCATCAACAAAGAAGCAGAAAGAAGGAATGAAAAGGAACAGGCTAGCAGAACGGAGACCAGGACGGGAACAGGCACATTGATCGCCTCACGAAGATCGGTTCGGCCAAACTCAGCAAACGGCCCAGAGAAGCTCGTACTGAAAGTCGCTGGAAACAGGCGCACCATAGCTGGAGAGAAGCTCAAGCTGAGACAAGCGGAGCCTCACACACAGCTGCCCCTCGCTGGTAAGCAGTTGCGCATTATGGGGAATCATACGTCCTTAGAAACAAAGACTGTCCTGGTAACCTTACGGCTTATTCTCGTTCTTACCAGTTGGACAGTTTACGATCCTGAAATATGGGACCAAACTGAGGTCAAGGTGTGGGACTCTGCAACTGAAAACGACAAGGTTGCAGTGGGATTGCTCGGCATGTGGCAAGCAGTCTCTGAGGCCTTAAAGAGCCGTGTGGGACCATGGTCAGACACGTGTGGTTTGCCAGACAGCGAGGGAGCTGCGGGCTCCTTTACTGATCCGACTGCTACGCCATCAGCCCCTCTGCTGCTACAGCCATCGAAGCCTTTGCTGTTCCGCCCCCTGGTGACCTGGACGTGCCTTTTGACCCAGGCCCTACTGGCCTTGAAAAGGAGATGGATATGCTTTTCTTCGATGCGGGAAGAATGGGATACATAAGGCCCGAAGACCAAGTTGCTTAACAACTTAAAGCGAGACATATTGCTCCCACGACTAGCCCTGGAATTCTCCAGTGTTTGTAATGAAGAAAAGGAATGGAAAACGGAGACTGTTGTTTGTAATGAAGAAAAGGAATGGAAAACGGAGACTGTTAAGTCGTGGAACTTAAAGGATTGTTTGTTAACTTTTCTGATTGTACCTATGTATAGGCATACTCAAGTTTAGTAAGTCGTGGAACTTAAAGGATTGTTTTCTACCTTTCCTGATTGTACCTATGTATAGGCAGACTCGGGTTTAGTTTGCAAAAGCAGTATTCTGTATATTTAGAATGCTTGATGTTCGTGTGTGCGTGTTGGTGGAGCGTAGACTCCCCGCACACCCAGCGCTGTTTACTTGCCTTTTATACCTTTTATAAATATTCCTTTTATAAATATTACTATATTCAGGTTGAGGTGAGACTCCATTTATAACAGAAGGAACAACCACATGTATCAGTAGAGGCTTGGGGATGGCCTGCGGGAGAGGAGCTCTGCGGAGAAGGACCTGGGGTCCTGGTGGACGACAGGTTGGCCATGAGCCAGCAGTGTGCCCTGGTGGCCAAGAAGGCCAATGGGATCCTGGGGTGCATTAAAAGGAGTGTGGACAGCAGGTCAAGGGAGGTGATGCTGCCCCTCTACTCTGCCCTGGTCAGGTCTCACCTGGAGTACTGTGTCCAGTTCTGGGCTCCCCTGTACAAAAAAGACAGGGATCTCCTGGAAAGAGTCCAGCGGAGGCTCACAGACAGGATACGGGAGCATCTCCCCTAGGAGGAAAGGCTGAGAGACCTGGCTCTGTTCAGCCTGGAGAAAAGAAGACTGAGAGAGGATCTTATCAATGTCTATAAATACCTGAGGTGTGGGAGACACAGGGATATGGCCAACCGCTTTTCAGTGGTCTGTGGGGGCAGGACAAGGGGCAACAGCCGCAAAATGGAGCACAGGAAGTTCCACACCACTACGTGAAAGAACTTCTTCACGGTGAGGGTGACGGAGCACTGGAACAGGCTGCCCAGGGAGGCTGTGGACTCTCTGCAGATATTCAAGCCCCGTCTGGACGCCTACTTGTGCAACCTGCTCTAGGAAACCTGCTTTGGCAGGGGAGTTGGACCCGATGATCTCTGGAGGTCCCTTCCAACCGCTACAATTCTGTGAAACGAGCCCCGCAACGCCTAGGTTTCTCTATCTTCTGTTTAACCTATTGGAGTAACAGCTCCATTAGTACAGTGTTTCCACAGTCTTCTAACACTTGGATTACCCCTAACACTTGAAAAGAGGAAGATGCAGTCTTTCTAGACCTAGGTTGCATCGATAAGAACCCCTGGTTTTGAAGACGACATCGAACAGCGAGTTGCATAGTGGGGCCTTGGTCCTTCCACAGTCCACAGACTCATAAGTTTGCAGAGCGGAAGCTTTGCAGAGCTGTATGAACACTGAAGATCCAGTTCTGCAAGAAGCTGATGCAAAAGCTACCTGGCAATGAGCAGTTTGGGTGAGGAGGAAAGAGCATTCTCACAGTGCGTGGTTTAACCGAGTGTAGTCCTGTGGGCTGTGTCAACAGAACTGGCTTTGGTTTGTACCCTTTCAGGACATTGAGGACCCAATTTCATGTCTGTGGGCAGCACGGCTAAGCGGGCAGCGTACTCTGTGTCACCGGGGACAGAGGAGGGATCGACTGATGGGCAATGTCAGTGTGCCCTGCACAATGCTGCCGCCACCTTGCTGGAGCAGTTTGCGTGCTCCTAGCGCCAAAACGAGCCTCTTGGAGGGCCAGGGGCAAGGCGAGGCAGAGCTGGAGGTGGTGTCAGGAAAGCCTCATGGCTCCCGCCAGGCACTGCGCCAGGCCTCAGCCCTGGGAGGCCGCCCCGCCCTGCGGCCTCCTGGCGCCCATCGGCTGCCACAGCTCCATGCTGCCTAGCAACAAGCGCCAGCGGCCTCGCTATTGGCTGCGCCCAGAGGCGCCAAGGCAGGCAGCCAATGGGGCGGCGCCTGACTATGATGGAGCAGAGGTGTCACAGGGCAGGGTGGGTGACATGGTGCTGGGTGTGCTGGGGCTGCGGCACTCCGGCGATGGTGGCGCACGGGCAAGGCGCAGCCTTTGGGCTGCTTGTGGCCCCTGAGGAGTGCTCCTGTGTGCAGCTCTCGGTGTGGTCTTCACTGTGTGACCCAGCAGGAGGGTGTCATCATGCAGCTTTTGGTGTTCTTATCACGGCAGCCCTGAGCAGTCCTGCATCGTTCGGCTTTTGGTGGTTCTCCACTGCAGCCTCTGAGGAGTGGTTTCCTGAGCAGCTTTTGGTGTTTTCTTCACTGCGACTTGAGGAGTGCTTCTGCGTCCAGCTTGTTGTGTTTCCTTCACTGTGTTTCCACTGAGGATGCCTTCATTTTGCGGCTTTTGGGCTCCTTCACACCACGTTTCCCCTGAGGAGCGCTTCATCATTCAGCTTTTTTGCGTTTTCTTCACCGTGGCGCTTGAGGAATAATTCTTCATGGAGCTTTTTGTGTTTTCTTCACCTTGTGGTCCCTGAGGAGTTCTTCATCGCACAGCTTTTGGGGTTCTCTTCACTTTGGGACTCTGGAGGAATGCATCATCGTGCAGATTTTGGTGTTTTCTTCACTACGGCCCTGAGGAGTTCATCGTGCAGCTTTTCTGGTTCTCTTCACTTCGGTCGTTGAAGATTGCTTTGTCGAGCAGCATTTGGTATTTTCTTCATTGCGGCCCTTGAGGAGTTCTGCATCGTCCTGCTTTTGGGGTTCCCTTCATTACGTTTACCCGGAGGAGTTCTTCAGCGTGCAGCTTTTCTGGTTCTCTTCACTTTGGCTCTTGAGGAGAGCTTTGTAGTGCAGCTTGTGGTGTTTTCTTCACTGCGGCCCTGAGGAGTTCTGCACCAGCCAGCCTTTGGGGTTCTTCACCATGTTTCCCCTGAGGAGCGCTTCATCGTTCAGCTTTTTTGCGTTTTCTTCACCGTGGCGCTTGAGGAATAATTCTTCATGGAGCTTTTTGTGTTTTCTTCACCTTGTGGTCCCTGAGGAGTTCTTCATCGCGCAGCTTTTGGGGTTCTCTTCACTTTGGGACTCTGGAGGAATGCATCATCGTGCAGATTTTGGTGTTTTCTTCACTATGGCCCTGAGGAGTTCATCGTGTAGCTTTTCTGGTTCTCTTCACTTCGGTCGTTGAAGATTGCTTTGTCGAGCAGCATTTGGTATTTTCTTCATTGCGGCCCTTGAGGAGTTCTGCATCGTCCTGCTTTTGGGGTTCCCTTCATTACGTTTACCCGGAGGAGTTCTTCAGCGTGCAGCTTTTCTGGTTCTCTTCACTTTGGCTCTTGAGGAGAGCTTTGTAGTGCAGCTTGTGGTGTTTTCTTCACTGCGGCCCTGAGGAGTTCTGCACCAGCCAGCCTTTGGGGTTCTTCACCATGTTTCCCCTGAGGAGCGCTTCATCGTTCAGCTTTTTTGCGTTTTCTTCACCGTGGCGCTTGAGGAATAATTCTTCATGGAGCTTTTTGTGTTTTCTTCACCTTGTGGTCCCTGAGGAGTTCTTCATCGCACAGCTTTTGGGGTTCTCTTCACTTTGGGACTCTGGAGGAATGCATCATCGTGCAGATTTTGGTGTTTTCTTCACTACGGCCCTGAGGAGTTCATCGTGCAGCTTGTGGTGTTTTCTTCTACTCGGCCCTGAGGAGTTCTGCACCATCCAGCCTTTGGTCTTCTCCTCACCATGTTTTCAATGAGGAGAGCTTCATCATGCCGCTTTTGGTGTTGTTTTCACCTTCCAGCCCCTGAGAAGTGCTTCATCTTCTAACATTTGGTGTTTTTTTTTCTCATTCTAGGCCCCGAGGAGTACTTCTGCGTGCAGCTTCTGGCGTGTTCTTCATTGCGGCCCATGACGAGTTCTTCATCGTTCAGCTTCTTGGGATCCACGTTTCTACTTTAGGAGAGCTTCATCGTCCAGCTTTTGGTGTTTCTCCACTGCAGCCTCTGAGGAGTGCCTTCTTGAGCAGCTTTTGGTGTTTTCTTTACTACGTCACTGAGGAGCTCTTCATCGTGCAGCTTTTGGGGGTTTTCCCCACACCACGTTTCCCCTGAGGAGGGCTTCACTATTCAGCTCGTCGTGTTTTCTTCACTGTGGCGCTTGAGGAGAAATGCTTCGTGGAGCTTTTTGGGGTTTCTTCTCCCTGTGGCCCCTGAAGTGTGCTTCCGCGTGCAGCTTTTGGTGTGTTCTTCACTACAGTCCTGAGGAGTTCTTCATCGTGCAGCTTTTCTGGTTCTCTTCACTTCGGCCATTGAGGATTGCTTCGTCGAGCAGCATTTGGTATTTTCTTCATTGCAGCCCTGGAGGAGTTCTGCACCAGCCAGCCTTTGGGGTTCTTCACCATGTTTTCCCTGAGGAGAGCTTCATCATGCCAATGCTGGTGTTGTTTTCACCTTCCAGTCCCTGAGAGGTGCTTCATCTTCTAACATTTGGTGGGGTTTCTTTCTCATTCAAGATCCCGAGGTGTCCTTCTGCATGCAGCTTCTGGTGTATTCTTCATTGTCGTCCACGAGGAGTTCTTCATAGTTCAGCTTTTCAGGATCTCTTCACCATGTTTCCTCTTAGGAGAGCTTCATTGTCCAGCTTTTGGCGTTTCTCCACTGCAGCCTCTGAGGAGTGCCTTCTTGAGCAGCTTTTGATGTTTTCTTCACTACGTCGCTGAGGAGCTCTTCATCGTGCAGCTTTTGGTGTTTTCTACAATGAGGCGCTTTTTGGCATCTACCGTGTCTGCAGCCAGACCGACAGCTCCGTGCCTGATGTGTGAAGAAGCACATTCTTCTGTTTGTTTTCAATCTGCCAACCGATCATTTCACGTAGAGCTGTCTTTTTTGTACTAGGAGGTGCCATGTTGTGTCATGCTGTTATAAATCTCTTTCAAACCATTTCCGAGTTCTCTTGCCTCATGTACTGGGTTTACGTGGCAAGGTTTTGGTAGCGGGGGGCCATCAGGGTGGGTTCTGTGAGAAGAATCCAGAAACTGCGCCATGTTAGAGAAGGGCCCGCTGCTGGCCACAGCCAGGCCAAGAAGCGCTGTTGTTTGTGCCTCTGTGAGGCCAGATTTAAGAAAGGTTAAAAGAAACAAAAAACAAAAAACAAACAACAACAACAACAAAATTGCTGCGGAAGAGCAGCTGGGAGAGAGGGAGGAATGAGAAACAGCCTTGCAGACGCCAAGGTCGGTGAAGAGGGAGGGGGAGAGGTGCTCCAGGCGCCAGAGCCTGCAGGCTGTGGTGAGGACCATGGTGAAGCAGGCTGTCCCCCTGCAGCCCATGGTGTACCACAGTGGAGCAGGGTTCCACGCTGCAGCCCGTGGAGGAGACCCCCGTGGAGCAGGGGCAGAGAGCAACTGAGAAGGAGCGGCGGAGACAAAGTGCTACAGACTGACCGCAGCCCCCATTGCCCTGCTCCCCTGAGCCGCTCGGGGGGAGGAGGTGGGAGAGGGTGGACTGGGGAGGAAAAATCTTACGGTCTCCCTACTCTGAGTCTGCTTTGCCCATCACGACACCTGCTGAGCGATCTCCCTGTCCTTATCTCAGCCCTTGAGCCCTTGGCATCGTATTTTCTCTCCCTTTCCCTTTCAGGAGGGGGAGTGAGAGAGCGGCCATGGTGGTACTCGGCTGCCCACCCGAGTCAAAGCACCACACTGTAACACCTAAACTAAAGTCCCTTTGCTGCATCTGAAGTCCTTTCTTCCTTGTCCTAAATCTATGGCCTGGGGAGGAGTTTGCTCGCTTTTTATTTGCAGCATCCTTCTCCACATCTCAGTTCTGCCTTCTTTTGACATTAAAGCCTTAGTCCATTAATCCAATGTTTAATCTTTCCTCAGAGACCATGTTTCCTAAGAGTCTGATCCTAAGAAGGGTCGTTCTTAGCATCGCTTCCTGGGTTCCTTGGGTGCTTTCTGCTTGGTGTGTGTGTTCCTTGAAATACAATCCTCAGAAGTGGACACAATTTCAGTGGAAAATTTCACAGTAGACCCCACACTCTGGATAGAGCAGTCTTCCGTCAGCCGCTCCCTCTCACCTTCTTCAACCTGCTGATGGGAGCACGAGGTGGAGGGTGTCGCAGGCTTTCTGAAGGTGACACATGGGGGTCTTCCCTGAACAAGGTGTTCCGCTGTCAGAGAAGGAAACGGCTTTGTCGTTTGTTTCTCACCATCGGCACTTTGTGGCAGTTTCAGCTGTGATTGTCTCACTACACATAACCTATTGGATTATTTCTTGGAGTATTTTTGCAGGAGTGGACATTTAACTCATTAGTTCAAATAGTGAGATCATGCTCATGTCATTCACTTACTTTTCAGCCGAATGCAACTTTTCATAGAATTTGCTAGTGTTGCAGGGGCCCAGCCATGACCGCTCTCCTCTTAAGGCACCTCCAGTGCTAAGGAGATGGGGAAAGACTTTGGGAATGCATTTTGTGTCTTCCCAGTGGGATGCTGATGCACTAAACTTTTCTGCCACAGAGTGTGATGTGAATCTCCAACACCAAGCAACAACAACACAACAAAAAGGAAAGGCTCTTGCTACTGTCTCCCATGATACCCTGCTAACAAAGCTGACAAAGTGTGGGACAGAAGAGCGGACAGTAAGGTGGGTTGAGAACTGGCTGACTGGCCGAGCTCAGAGGGTGGTGATCGGCGGCGCAGAGACCGGTTGGAGACCCGTGACAAGCTCAGGGGTCGGTGCTGGGTCCTGTCTTGTTCGACAGCTTCATCAGCGACTCTGATGAGGGAACAGTGTCCACCCTCAGCAACTACGCTGATGATACAAAGCTGGGAGGAGTGGCTTGCATGCCAGAAGGCTGTGCTGCCATTCGACGAGACCCGGACAGGCTGGAGAGCTGGGCAGGAAGAAACCAGATGAGGTTTAGCAAAAGCAAGTTGCACCCAGGAAGTGTTATATATGGAGTGGTAATTCGTGTCGAGAAGATGGTTGATATTAATAAAGAAGGGGGAGATGTGGGAGTGTGGCCATGGGGGTCGGCAAAGACTGTTAAGGCACGGAACTTAAAGGATTATTTGATACCTTTTCTGATGTTAGATACGTATAAGCGTACTCAAGTTTAGTAAGTCATGGAACTTAATGGATTGTTTGTTACCTTTTCTGATTGTATAGGCATACTTGGGTTTAATATGTAAATTAATGTTCTGTACATTTAGAATGTTTGATGTTCGTGTGTGCGTGTTGTTGGAGCATAGACTCCCCACACACCCAGCGCTGTTTACTTGCCTTTTATAGCTTTTATACCTTTTATACTTTTTATAGTTATAAATAATACAAAATTCAGACTGAATTGAGACTTCATTTATAACAAACCAGTCTCTTAAATTAAGGACATCCCTGCACGGCTGCCACAAAACAGTATTTCTAGCATTTACGTATGTGGTGGCATTGGTTTGTATGCCTGTTGAGTATGAAAAAATATAGTTTTTCCAACTAGTATTTTATCAGCTGTAATATATAAAATGCAAGTCACTTTTGGTTGATCGAATTAGAGTTTTGCAAATTGTAATACCAAACAAAAGCCAGTCGCTCTGCATTAAACATTAACTCTGCTGCACAGAGGGCAGTTTTTGTTTCTGAGGGGTAGTCTGTGTACTTGCATTTAATTAGCCTCTGTCAGAACCTCTATTTTTAGACTAAAAACAAGACAGGATAACCTGGCATATCTGAATTGCTGTGTGCAAGCTCAGTGCTCAAAATTTTGCCAAGGTACATATAGATAACCAACAGTATTATTGTAATTTTACTGAGAAATCCTGTGGTGAAAATAAAGGTTTAACCATAGCCTAGGATTCATACTGGGGACTTTTCTTTTACACTCTGGGTACTGGTTGCACAGTGCTTACCCTCCCTTGTACTCCAGTCCTCTTGCTGAGGACAGTTGATGATGAGCACACTATAAAATGCTTAAGTGTGTTTTGAGAGTGGGAAGGACTAACAAATGCAATATATATGAATGTGATACATTTGTAATGAATTGGACATACAAAAACTACATTACGGTAGTGTGGAGAGTGTGGTTTGACCATAAGGATGCCAGGGGATCTTAAGCTATTAAGGCTGATGCTTTGTCCTTAATTCACCCTGTCATTTCTAGGTATTACAGTGCATGGCACCAAACGGAGCCCACTGCCTCACATCTAGTGTTTAATAAAGAAATATATGATGTGAATTATATTGGACAAAAGGAATCTGCTGTGAACACACTTTCACCCTACAATTTTCAGAGTGTGTATTTAGGACAATATATTGTCTTAAACATAATATAATATATTTAAATCTTTGCAGTTGGGGAGGGTTTGATACATGAAGTAGCTGTAACATTGCGGAGCGGGGGGCAGGGAATCATCATCTTGTAAAATTTAGTGTATTCACAGGACAGAGTATTCAGACTGATACATTAGAAAACAGGTACTTAAGAGAATGTAATGGCTCAAGATAACAGAATCTGTATTGAGATTCTCATTTGAGCTGTGTATCTCTATTGTGTAAATCCATAGAGGTATATTCAAGGTGATTAGCTAGGATTTAGTTCTGTGTGGGAGCAGGGGGAAAAGGTCTAATGGAAATGTTGACAGACCATTAACTAGAGTATCACTAATGGGTGCTATAATAGATAGAGATATTTTTAATTGTAAAGAGGTTAATTGGTATTCCTCATTTGCATTCCTTTCTTCCTGAGTGGTAGCAATTGTAGCTCATCCATTGATAGGAATGGCTATTATACTGAGAGAATATAAAGGATCACAATATTTTCTCCAAGAAAATAAGTATGTATATGTGGAAGAGAAATAAGTTAACTGACACATGATGATTAGCCAGCTCTAACTGGAGAAAAGCAGTTTTCCTAACGGTGTATGTAGGGAGTGCCTGCAGGAAATTGTTTCCATAGTAATTAGAAGAATTTGATCTTTTTAATTGCTTGGGAAAAATAGCTCACTTCCACTAAAATGTTTGCAACAACACGTAAATCATGGTAAACTTCAGCCTGCTTCTCTATGGAAATGGAAAATTTTGGAAACGTATGAGAGAAGCTACTGCTCTTTTCCTCCTCTGTCTCAGGTGCTGAGGGGAATACTTATACAGAGCCCTAAAACGATGCCTACCTCCCTGTACTAACAGAATAAAATGGGCCTCTGCTGCCCTCCTTGGTGCTTGGTTAGGCCATGACCAGAGGAATTGGTGCCCTGGGGCTGCCAGGCTACCTCTCGCCTTGCCACCGGCCCCTTCTGTTGACAACTTTTCCCACACACTTTGCAACTTTGGATCCCAGCACGGTGTTGGGGCCTGGAGCATCCCATGATGGAGCCCAGCCCCGTGCCGAGGAGGCCAGCTGCTGGCGGTGACTTCTGGCTGTGACAGGCCTCCCTCCATCATCTGCCCACAGCTCTCTGTGCTTGGAGCTGGCTCCAGGGGGTGGTGATCTCCCTCCTGCTCCTGTGGCAGCCAGCGGCAGAAGCCCAGGGCCTGCCCAGCACCTCCGTAGTCACGGCCTCTCCTCAGTGCACAAAGAGCAGCAGGAAACCAGCCTCCCTCTCCACTGGAAATCCCCTGTGCAAGGCCTTCCTCTTCCATGAAGCTTGCTTTCTTCAACTCAAGTTAATGCGACTATCTTTGTCTAATTAAGAAAAACAAGCAAAAGACTTCACGTAGCTGTGCCCTCAATTTTTTTTCTGCTATTGCCACTTCTTTAGCTTCACTTCACCATCTCTACATCCTTGTTATTTTTTGCCTGTTGCACTTTTCCCCCTGCCCAGCCTTTGAGTTGTACGCGCTCTCCCTATGGGTCTGTCAGCTTTTTCTTCCAAACTGTCTTTGCCCTCCTGCCCAGTCCTGAAGCATGTAGTAACAAATACTCTGTGTGGATTTTTTAAATACTGAAAGAAAACACATTTGACAAATGTTTTAGTTTTGTGGTTTATAAAGCTTAAGTATATTTTACTGAATGAATATATAGTCTTTTAATTTCTTTATAAAATTAATTCCTTAATGAACGTAGCCAATAGCAACAACTTACTCTTAAATGTCATCTCAGTGTACATAGCAAAACTGAATTATTTAATAGAGGAATCTGTCAATTTGTCAGCCCTTAAATGCAAAATGCAATTTCTTCTATGAGTCTTTCCAGTCTTTCAGTTTCTAGTATTTCTTTACCTAATGGTCCAAATTCTGTTTTGTGCAAGTGAGGAACTCCAGCTTTCCCCATCTGCACCCATTTCCTAACTAAACAGGACTTACCTGCAGTGTTGGGGTGGTGGGATGGGGATGTCACATAATGTTAGAGAATACAGACAGGAGACCTTCTATTTCAAGAAAAGAAGTTGCCTCTCACCTCCCATTCCCAAATCTCTTGTAGCATGCTTCATCGTGGGTTGCTTTTACAGATTTTGTGCTCTGTGCCCTTCCAGGCACTTTATTTGTGGAGTTCCAAAAACCTGTGGGGCTCGCTGGAGCTCCTTGCTCTCTGAGTAGCTTGGATATAAACAAGAAGTTGGCTGCTCCTGAATGAGACCCAGCTGGCCTGCCTTCCATCTGCTGGGCTGCCCTGGCTCTCTGCTGCCCACTGATTGCATAGGCAGGGTGGTCCTCTCAAGTAATAACATCCACGTAGTGCCAAAATCCCAGGCTAGTTCTCAGCTTGATTGCTTTGCCAATCTGCTTCACCACACGGCCAAGCAGTGCTTTGCCAGCGTGAGGCCAGAGCAGTAGCAGGGGCTAGGAGAGAAGCAGGCCGGTGGTCTTGGTTCTGCATGTGAGCCAGCGCCGCAGCTACACAAAACCCTGAGATGGCTGGAGATTGTCAAGTGCTCTGATAAAAACACTTTACAGCTTACATACATGTACATGGTCACATTTTGTGCACTGTGCACACCCCCTTCTCTGCCAGCTTGGAGCTAATTGAGAGGGTTGCTTATGTTGTCAGATGTCCTGGGGTTTCTAGGGCAGTCAGCACCCCCACGAACTGTGGGATTTTCTGCTCCTGTAGGCTTCAGGAGGCCAAGCCTCTGCGCAACAGCTCTGGCATGTGTGCCATTTGTGCAGCAGAGTCATGCAGATAGAAGCTGAAGCGCACTGGTGTCTGTAGCATAAGGACTTTTCACTTTAAAAGTCACCGACCGCTTTGGCAGGGGGACTCATTCTCACGCTGTGAAGTGCCCTCTGCATTGTGTGGTGCAAGGAAGTGATCTGGTTGAAAAGAACACCCTCTTCTTTGTGTTTTTTTTTTTTTTTGGGTTTCCCTTCGTTCCCACCCCAAATGATTTCTGCTTTGGATCATTTCCATGACCCAGTTCCCTGCAAGGCCACACAAATGGGAACGAGTAGCGGGTGTGGTGGTGACAAGCAAGCTTAAACTGTCTTGCCTTTATACTCCATAGGGCAGTGCGTGCTTGTTTGTGGCCTGGGAGATTGAGGCTACTCTAAGCAGAAACAGAGCATAGTGCGAGCGCAGCCCTACTGACACAGCTGGATTTATCCCAGAAAGCCACCTACTTATCCCTTTCAAGAGCTACACAGTAAAAACAGTTTTGCTTGTACAACTGCATCCAGGCTGGACAATTTTGCCAGGATCCACTACACTATAAATATAGATGTCTGTATCTGGACCTGACCAGAGAAATGTATCTTTACCAGCTTTAATTGATTTTAGCTAGGAGCAAACTGGCTCTAGAAGAACTACTTATAGCTTAACATTTCTGTTGAAAATGTACCATTTAGTAATTAATGGGTTTGGAAAGCAGCCAGAATCTTTCAATCTAATCCAGTTTAAGGAAAAAGAATCAATTGACTTTTTTTTTTTTTTTTTTTGGAATGGTAAATATCATGAAATATTTTACAGCAAATGATGGTTAAAAATAGCCCAGTTGCACCAACTGTCATATAGGATAAATCACTTGCATCAGGATATGATCTTTATGATTTGTGCTCTATGCAAATAAGCACAGGGTTTCGCTCCACATTTTGTATTCAGGCAAAGTTCCCCATGGACTTCAATGGGAATTTTGCCTAAGCAATAACAGCAAAATTGGTCCCATGTGAAAAAAAATTGATCACTGGGGAAAATTAAGAGATTTTTCTTAAAGGCACAGATGGCAGTTAAGCATTTAACTTTAATTGGCTTTTTACATGAGTAGGGACCCCTCTACCGTTGTACCTTTAGAAGACTCCTCCTCAGTATACTGGAAATGCCTTGCCAAAATAAGAGAAATGCCTGCAGTGGCTGTGGATAGTCAGTCCCTGGGATGGGGTAGAGCCAGTGTACTCCAGGGAAGTGAAAGGGCACTGTCGAGGGATATGAAATAGCTGAAACAAATGCCACAATAAAGCAGTGAGAGCTTCCTTGACTCTGTGTTCTCTGTTAGGCTTGTTGTGGTAGCACTGGATGTGTGAGGAGGGAGAGCAGGGCCAAAGGAACCAAACGCAGCTGCAAGAAGGAGAAACTGCAGAAGTTCCAGGCATTTAAGAATGAGGCAAAGAGATGTGAATGTTAAAGCTGTCCTGACACATGGGATGAAATAATTTGGAAACAGTTGTCTAGAAGTCTCTGTGTAATCTTTCAGCATATGTTGAAAGTTACTTGCAAATAGGGAGATGGTTAGGTTTGCACTTTGCTTGGAGTGATCATAGCCTGATACTAACAAACCAAACCTCAGAAAGTCACTTGAAGTTGGGGTTACAGTGAGCTCTGTGTTAGGTTATATAGTTCTACAGGTGGTTGTGGTGGTGGCAGTATGAGTTCTGGCTCTGGTAGTAATTGTGCAGCTTGCGAAGTGTAGACATGGCTTGCTTATTGCTCTCTGAGTAAAAGCTCCGCTTCCTAATGTGACACCATACTTGCATTCAGTCATGTAAAAGCTACCTTAGGCTTACTATGATAATAAACAGAAAGGTGATGTAATAAACAAGACTTTTCTATATATTTCCTCTAGGCTGCTGCCATTTAAAAATATTAACTCGTGTTAAAATCCAAATAAAAATCTAAGCAGTTTCTTTTCTATACCAATAATTCCCTTTTTGCTCAGTCTATGCAGAAGCAAAAAAAAAAAAAAAAAAAAAAAAATCATTTTGTATTTAAAAAGTGTCCTTCTGCTAAGAGAGTTGAACTATAACTTCAGCAGTCCCTAGTGCAGACGTGTGAGCTCTGGCTGTTGTGTACTGGTGAGCATATGCGCATGTTCAGTGTTAAAGGCACGTCATCGTGATTGCTAAGCCAAGACTTAGGATGTGGCATAGGCAACATTGCCATTGAAAATTTCATTTGCCTCTCATACACGAGGTTTATGATAGTCTCTGTGATGAAACTATTGTGTTATAATGAAATTAATACTGTTAACTTGGTCCTATCAGCTAGAACTACTTAGAACCAGGTACTAGGTCCTGGAGTTGAGTGCAAGCCTGGAAAAGTCAAAGAGAGTAGCAAGAAAAGGCTTAGGTTAAGAGATGTGCTCAGAGGTCAGGAAGGCAAGGAATACATACTACAAGCAGCATGGTGTGGCTGCAGCAATTGAAGACTGGCAGCAATAGAAACTAAGAACCAGGACAAAACAAACAAACAAACAAACAAACAAATAAATAAATAAATAAATAAATAAATAAGGGGAGGGTGTAAAGGGTGTAAAGGAGAAAGAAGCAAGCCAAGTTTATCTTAGCTTAACCAAGGATTTTATTTATTTAATTATTTTTTGGGGGGTGGGGGGTGGGGGGGTGGGGAGGTCTTTCAAGGTGATGAAACCTGTTAATAGTTACATAAATGTAATTAATCTAAATAATTACATAAGGGTCTCTGCACTAAGTCATGTGTGGCCAGGCTCAGACCTGGAAATCATGGGTTTTCCTTCTTCTTGGGGAGCCTTCCCCCATTTTCCAGCCAAGCAGAGACTGAGTCAATAAACCCAAACTCTGTAATCCATTTTTCTACAAGTTTCCCTTACTTCAGGGACAGGCGGACAGCCTTTCTCAGTCACTAAGTGGTCAGTTAGCATCTTAAATTAAATGTTCTCTTCCTCTTGAAAGCCTTTTGTCTCTCTGCCTGCAGACTTCAGGCCTTGCAAATCCACTTTGCTCTGAGCTTGAAAGGGCTTGTTGTCCCCTTGGCAAAGAAGCCTCCTGCAGAGGTCTGTCTCCTCCTATTCTGTGGTTTGTCCTTCCAGGCTACTTACTGCAGCTCTCTGCCTGGCCCTGTTGTGTCCTGTATCTATTAAAAGACTGAGCAGACACCAGTGTGCATTTCTATAGCAGATTGTTCATTTTTCTCTCTTTTCTCAGTGTGCAAATGCAACCACAGGTCAAGTGATATCTCCCCCTGATTTTGTGTATATTTATACACATATATATGTACGCATGTGTGTACATGCACATAAATAAAATAAATGTATCTGTTATATAATGAAGCCTTGTGTGTTTGTGTTTTTTTTGTTTGTTTGTTTTGTTTTGGTTTAGTTTTTTTGTTTGTTTGTTTGTTTTTGTTTGTTTGTTTGTTTGTTTGTTTTTGGTTTTTTTTTGCTTGTTTTTAAGAAATTCAAAGTGCAGATAATCTGTCTGCCAGAATCTTGCATGGTTGTAATTTCCAGGAAGGATGTAGTACAAAGGAGATGGGCTTGGTGGCTTCTCTGAGGAATGGTTCAATGGTTTTCCACTGCTGGCTGTCTTGAAACCATGAAGTCAGGTATAGAGCTCTGCAATATGAGAACGTAGGTAGTACTCTTTGGAAATGCATATATTTGTTCTGGTTAGGCCCCCTTTATAACTAAGGAGTGAAAGCTAGTCATGGCTTCATTAACATTGTCTTTATACATATTTATATATATTTAAAGATGATCCTTGGATTGTTCTGTAATGAGCTTTCTTTTTTTTTGGGGGGGGGAAGGTGAGGGGTGGAAATCAGGTTACCTGAATTTTGATCCAATCCTTCTGCCATCCATGCAGAAAATCCTACAATTGATACTATAGGTACTTTTTCCCAGGCTGATGCTATCTGGCTGAGACAAGAAGCTTGTCTGTAGTTTAACTGGGAATGGAACCACTGGCCTTACAGAGGTCACAATAGTTCTCCACTGCCCTTCCCACAGTGACACCAGAAGGCAAAATGAACATTTCCTTCCAGAGCTAATGGAAACATGGTCCCCAGGATCATTGGTACAAGAGCGATAAGACTTGGAAATTGCCAAAAGTTGCAATAACATATGTAGTCTGCAAGGGGATTGTATCTGGGTTAGTTCAATTACTGGGATGAATCATGCGGTGAAGACATAGCCAAGAGCAAAGTTACTCTGGAAAAGAAGATGCTAGCTCTATTTCTGAGCCAGTATCAGAATCTTTTCTTTCAATTTCTGTTCCTCTGGAGGCTGAGTTAGAGCTACACACAAAGTTATTAACGGAGATGCCCATTACTTGGGTGTTTCAACCCTATGGATTAAAATTCATAGTTCTTCAAGTTGTTAATGAAATT